TTAATAAACGTAAAAACCGAAAGAAGAACTGAAGCCTCTTCTCGTCCTTTGATACGCGGCTGCCCCAAGGCCACTCCGGGCCTTTCCAGGCCCTTCAAACAGCCGAAAACCCGACATCAGCCCAGCTCTGCCAGCCCTGATCCATCACTGCCAGCTGCTGGGGGATGGCTGGGCCTGTCTCACCTGCCCTGCCAAGGGGGCTGAGGGAGCTGCAGATGAATTATCAGACCATGAGCCTTGGTTCAGGGCAGTAAAACAGGCTCCTGGACAGATTTGGATATCCTGGCTTTCCAGGCTGCTTTTCACTCTTGGACTTTTGGCTGTTCCAGTCACCAGGAAAATGTCTGTTGGCTTGGTGTTAATTGTGCTCTGAAGCAAAACTGTGCAGCCAGCTTGGAATTAATACTTCAGGTAATTTATCAGCAGACCAAAGACTTGGAGTTTCTTCATCATATCTTCCTAATAATAGGATAACTAAGGTAGCTTTTTCCTAATAATTGTAATTTTATTTTTAAATCAGTCTTCATAGTATCATTAACCTGCTTTTGGGTCCTTTCTCTCCTATTTTATCCTTCTTTTTTGTAACTGTCTGGAAAATTGTACAGCGACACTGCTCTCACAGTGGTTGTTGTATTTTACCTTTATCACAGCAGAGACAGAAATAAAAAGGGCAGACACTTCTAAAACTCCAAAAAGACACAGTAAGACAATAAAGTCACTCCATTCCTTGTCCCGGGTCCCTTCTCCTCTACAGGTGAGCCCCCCCAGCTCTCCCAGCCTTTCCCATTTTCAGCCTTTTGTCACCCTTGTTTTGCTGTGGCATCTGGGCAGACCCAGCACAAGGACCCTCTTTCTTTCCTCTCACAGGCTGTAGCTTAAAGAGCTCAGCAAGAGAGCTTTCAGTGCCAAATCTGCGGGTTCCTCAGGGAGCAGGTGGCATTGCTGTCCAAATTATTCTTTTGGGCAGTAAAATGAGTGAAACAGGAACGCGCTCTTCCTGTGTCTGAGCTTCCCTCTGCTGCCCTGCTGTGCAATATTTAATAATCCATCCTGACACCACGAGGGCTCTTTGATCTGGCAGGGTTTGGTTTAGCAGCTCCAATGGAGCTGCAGACTGGAATGGATGTTTTCCCACTGTACCTTCCTTCCCAAAGTCTTTCTCTTTTTCTTTCGTTTGCCGCGGCTCCGGCGGCGTCGGCAATGCATCACTGGGAGAATGGAAAACAAATAAAGCACAAATATAATTTTGCTCTGCAGTGCAGCACTTCAGAAGAGACAGATTTCTGTGAGCCATTGGTTCTTTTAAAGTATAGAGTGTGCTGCAATGACAAATGTACAGCTTTGATGTTTCCTGCTCCGCTCGCCCATGACATTGTAAATCAGTGTTTTGCTTTCTCATACTCCATCATTATTAAACTTGGTGTAACTCTGGTGTAGAACAAGCTCCTGAAAACCACGTGTCTCACTCTGCTCTCCTGTGTCCCAGGGGAATCATTGTGTTTGGAAACAGCAGCTACATTCTGGAGCCATTGGAAGGTGCTACGAGCGAACACAAGATCTACCGAGCGGAGAAGCTGAGAGCAGCCCCGGGGTCCTGTGGCCACCAGCTGGACATCCCTGCCACGGGGGCTGCTGCCAGTGCCACGCCACAGCATCCTCCAGCTGCCAGGGTAGGAGGCTGATGTGCTTTCTGTGTCTGCTTGGCAGCATTTCCAAGCATTCTCCACCAGGCAAAACCTTAACCCACACCATCGCCTTCCCTCGGTGCCGTCTGCTGAAGTGCAGATGAAATTATTTGTTAAAGCTTTATTACTTTTCCTGGACTCGCCATGCATAACTTGCTTTTCACTTCCTTTTCAACACAGAAAAGTTTATGGGTTCATATTATGGCCGTATATTCTGGTTCTTGTATGGTTAGAACCAGAATTTGAGGCTCCCTGAGAATACTGAGCGATGTCTGGAAAAGTTCTTGCCCTCCCAAGATGAAAGAGAACATGATAGCTGGGATACTTTGCTAATACCAGGTTTGGAACCTCTGCATTTTAGTGGCAAAGTCTCTTATGCAGACAAAACAAGTTCTCAGCATATTATTTTACAGCTGTATTATTGGACTTGCTGGATTTTGGCAGAAAGGTACTTCATGTGAGATGCATTTACCTAATGGAAATTAGAAAATTAAATGAGCCAAAAACCATGAAGAGGAAATGCTGTAACAAATTCATCTACATATAGGATAAGAGTTGTAGAAAAGGCTGGGTTAGGTATTCAGGAAGTATATAATGATACAAATCTGCCATCAGCATTTATTGAATGTCACATATGGGGATTTGTACTTGCATGTATGACTCAGGCTTTGCCTCAGATCCATTGTTAAGGAAAGCAAGCTAAGTGACATCTCTAGATATAATTAAGCAATGGAATTAATTTATTTTACATTTTTAGGAATATTACATCCAGAGCATCAGCCTTTGCATGTAACATTATAAGAATTAAGTGTATTTCTAAAAGCATGTGTGGGTGGAAAACATTGGAAATACAACTTTATTAAGTTTTCCCCAGATTCTTTGTGACTTTGAATTCCACTGAAGTAGTCAGTGTAAAGCAGAAGTAAAATGTGTGCGTGTAACAAACTGACACAACCAAAGCCATTTTATTATTACCCTTATGGTTCTTCCATTTTGCTGCTGGCTTCAACTACTTCTCAAATTTCACTTTAAATATCTGAAAAATATTTTTGCTGTGGTTCAGTGGACATAATTATAAAACCTGTCAGCAGTCACATCATATGGATAGGTACAATATATTTAATGAGTAAGTTGGTTAAGCTTCTAATGTAGGAATTTTGAAAGCTGTCAAATGTCATGGGTGCAGTGAGTTTTCATATTTCAGTGTTGTCACTAAGCAGTCTGTCAGTGGGCACATCAAATACAGATGACCTGCAAAGTGGGGAGACATAAAACTGCTCCAAGTCACACTGGGTGACAGAATTAAGCATAAATCTGGTCTGAGGTTCATGGACATGATTAAAATATTTGGCTTCTTGACAGGTCTGGGGGAAGATTTTTGTTTGGTTTTATCTGCTGACTCTCCACTCAGCCACCCACACGAAATTCTTACTGAGCAGAGCTGAAATGTGAAATCAGGGCATCACCAAGGGCTTTGGTTAGATGCAAGCACAGGTGAAGGATGGCACAGGCAGCAAACTCAGCTCCCCAGACCCAAAGAGGAGCTGCAGTGGAGCAGGGCAGGAGATGCAGAGGTGTCACAGACAGGCTGTGCCCTGCTGGAGCTGCCCTGGGTCATTTCCTGACTCACTGCACCCTCAAATTGCATTAAGAAGCATTTTCCTGCTGACTCCATTGAGACAGGGCCCTGCAGAATGTCTGGTGTGTAGGACACTCCCTGCAGTAGGGAATTTTCTCTGCAGCCACAAGGAAAAAAAGGCATTTTGGTGATGGTGGTGACCAGGAGCAGGCAGGGGATTATTTAGAGTATGCGGAAAGAGAGGCTGCACCACTGCAGTGTCCATGCAAGCCATGCCAATTGCCAGGCAGGGAATGCTGAGGAAGGGGTCCAGCTGCTGGGACAGCAGGTTTGGGACAGGATCAGGTGGGGAAGCAGCAGAGGAGAGTGACCATGGTCAGAGGAACAAAGCCCATTGTCCCCCAGCTCTCATGGCTGTGTCATTGACTCCTCATTTCAGTTCTGAAGGATTAACCCAGCCAAGGGGTTGTGCAGTGATGCAGCTGGCTGCAGAGAGCAAGCTCAAAGAAGCCATAATTAGGTCTATTTCATAAATAAATATTGTATCCTAGGAGTTCACATAGCCTTGGGGCAAATCTCAGGAACAGATTTGTTATGCAAGTCAGTCACCAGAGGCTTGTGTGATTTTTATGCCTGCTAGCCAATTTCTCTGCAGCTCACTCCAGCCCTAACAGTTTTACTCTTGGTGAGAGGGAAATGTTTTAAACTGATGTAACAGAGCTCTCCTTGCTCCTTTGAACACAGATTTTTCCTGTATCATCTTTTCTTCTTCACTCAGAGGAGGATGAGAGGCCCCTCGGAGATGCATCTCTTTAGGACCTCATAATAAATTTCAGGATGGGAGAGTTTTAGTGTCTGAGAGATCAAGTCCATCACAAACAGCAGCCACATGGCCATTTACCTTTTGTGGCACCTCATTTGTGTCTGAGTGACATCACACCCCAGTGCCAGAAGTTTTAAAAGGATCTACCTCAGCTTATTTTCCAGAGCCCCTAAAATAAGTGAATTCCTGTCAAGTGTTTGCATCCTTGATGTTTAGTTCATTAACAGTAGCTTCTACTCCTCTCTCCATCCATAAATATGGTCCAAATGAAACTTTTCTCAAGTTATTGGAGTTTGCAACAGTATTAAGTATTAGGTTGAAGGTCAGATACTGAAGATTGCCTCGCTCACTTTTCCTCTAATTCTTGCAAAACATCAAAATCATTAATCTGCAGATAGTGAAGAGGAACAGTTTGATAATGTGAAGAAAACTTTGTGAAATGTGGCTGGAAGGAGATGTCCAGCTCTGGCTGTGCTTAGGGGATCTCTCAGTTTGCCTTGGAGCAGTTTTCCTTGGAAAGCTTTAGTCATGTTTTAGGTTAAAGAGCTTTGCTGCAGCTCAGGACATCGTGGTCAGTTGTAGGTCAGACATCTGTTTAAGCCTTCTAAGTTCTGGCAGGAAGATCAGATACTCTGCTGAGACCTCCTTTCCCTAAATGTCCTGGTCCAGACACAAGGAAGGAATGATAGGATAGATGCTGCTGCTGCTGTAAATCACAGAACTTTCACAGGCACTAATAGGTCACTCAAATTTAGGGTAGCAAAGGAGCTGAGACGTGTTTTGTATGTTTTGTACACTTACAAAATCATTTCTTCGCCGATTTTGTTTTTTCAGTTAAGCATTATGGTTCTTTTAGACCTGCATTTTATATGAATTTGCAGGTACAGAATTAAATGTGTGCATTCCATTTTTCAAGTATTAACTTGCTTCCCCTGACAGTTAGTTCTGCTTTTTGTATTTTTGGGTTTTTCTTCCTACATAATTTATCAGTTGACTGCTTGACCTCTTCTCTGCTTCACTCAATATCCCTTTATCTCTCATTTTTCTTAGTAACCAGTTTGTCTATTGTGTGAGATGTTTGTTAGAAGTTACCTCATCTCTCCCTTAAAAGTGCCTTGGAAATAGCAGAGGTCTTTCTGCTGGAGGGGAAATTCTCCTGTGAGGAAAGATAACTCAAACGTTTCAACTGCAGAAAGCTGAAAGGTTGAGAGAGACTTTGCACCAATCTCCTGCTTTCTGTGATCAAACCCTGAGAGGTTTTGTGAGGAAAACTTCCATGAGGAGGAGGAAGACACTACAAATCTGTGTGTAGTAAAATCGTAGTAAAATGTAGGAAACCTGAGACACTGTGTATTTCCTCTTGCAAGCACTTTGTTGTATCAGGGCTGAAAACAAAATAAGACTTTCATGGTTTTTTTGACAGTACAAGAGGGAGACTCTGAAGACAACGAAGTACGTGGAGCTTGTTATTGTGGCAGATAATCGTGAGGTAAGGAACTGCAAAATAAAAACTTATGTGAGCAGCAAAGGGGCAGCTCAGCTCAGTTACCATGGTGCTGCAAAGAAGGTGCTTCAGACAATCATATGATGTTTTCTGAGGTAAATCATCCTCCCTAATTAGGGCTGAGCAAGGAAGGAATTATTACGATAGGACAGCAGTGATACTCAGCTGTGAAATTTCTTGCAATACCTCAGAAGGAGTTTGACTCTGAAACAACTGTGTCAGTATAAAAGAAGAGGCAAATAAATATTCATTCCTTGAGCAAGTTAAGTCCTCACTGCCATTCCCAGTGCCCTCAGTGGGGCTGTCAGGGATTCTGGAGCAGTGCTTGGCCATCACATTCCGTGGAGCACGACTGCCTTCCTGAGGGGTTGCAAAGGGAGCTTCAAAGTACCCAGCACTGGCTGTAAAAGTGTTCCACTGAGCTGAATGGCAAAGATCTGAATCCTGGCTTGAATTATTTTGCTGCCTTTTTAAACTTTTTTTGTCTCTTTGAACACTGCTACTCAGAGAATTGCAATCACTCTTTGCAAGACCTGCAAAGAGAAGAACTATTTCCCAAAACATCAGTCCTGAAAAGACCCCTGTGTAACACTTGGAAATTCAAAAATCTTTTTCACGAGAGCCAAACTCCTGTCCCACAGCCTGGGTTTCTTTTGGGGCACACTGTGGATCCAGCAGGAGTCTGCTGGTGGATTTTGGCTGCCCCCTGATTCCCAAAGATCCCTGATGTGCTGGCTCTTGGGGGGGAAACTCTGTGACATTTGTGCTGCTGATCCATTGATCCTTTGCGTTCCAAGTTTCAGAGACAAGGCAAAGATGTGGAAAAAATTAAGCAGAGGCTGATAGAAATTGCAAACTACGTTGATAAGGTAAGAACATGAGGATTGTTTCCCTTTCCCAACCTTCTCACACTTTCTGTAGGATGCCGAAGGAGCTAACCCTGCAGCTTTGCTGGTTCCCCAGGATTTCAGAGCAAAGCTCCCAGAAAAGCAAATTTAAACCTTTCATTTGCCTTTTGATACACAAAGCCATGAGCTCTGCTCTGCTGCATATGGGATGTAAAGATCTATTCCCAAGAAAAAGCCCAATTTAGCCCTAGGATTTTATTCACCAGGGAAGAGGGTGGGGATAATCACCTAGAGAACAGCCTATAGAAGAAAAGAGGATTATTTTTAAGAGAAATTTGGAGAACAAAGTCATTTGTGGCAACAAGAGAAGGTCCAGTTGTAAGGCCAGCAAAGGGTTGTGAAAACACAGTTAATAAGATGTGTAATCCAAGGAAGATGGCAGAATTAAAAATAAGGAAGCAGAGTTGATGGCTGAGTGAGAGCAATAAGAGAGAGACAAAGACTGGATTTTTTTAGGTCTTGAAATAATTCCTTGACAGTAAACAATAATGGCTAAGAATCCTCTAGAGTGGTTTCTGAGCAAATTAGAGTTTATTTTTGTTGGGCTGAATGGCCAGAAAATATTAGGACTCTAGTAGTGAAATTATAACTGAGAGTGTCTTAATTTATCTGAGAACTTATCAAGTGATACTTCAAGGGCAGTAGCTCAAGGAGAAGCATTCCTGATTAAAAACAAGCTGCTGACGACACCTCCACCTCGTCCATAATTGTCTTGCTGACTTATTGCCAGAGGACAGGTGTTTATATGTTACCTGCTCAAAATTAATTTTGCATATTGTAATATATTTTTTGTTTCATGCCTAATTTATGCTCAGCAAACGCTGGTGCTCTGCAAATGACTGGAATGCTTAGAAACAAGGCAGAGATGCAAATGATTGGAATGCATAGAAACAAGGCAAAGATCTACTGGGTGTTTTGTCAGCCTGTCTGGCAAATCTGGGCTTGATCAATCCCTGACTCCTTCCTCACATTTCTCTCACATTGTCGTGGCTCTGCTGATGTTGCTCTGGCTCCCCCCTTGAGGCAAAATGGCATTTTCTGGTGGGGGAATGGATAAAATCACTGGGTTTATCTGCTCTGTGCAAGGCTTGATGAGCCTGGCTGGTTTTCAGCTGTTGCTGTGATCCTCAGCACAGTTCCTCTGCCTCTGGAATGGGATCTGTGCAATCCAGGGTGGGACAGCCCTGGGACACTCATCTGCCATGGCCTGGGGTTCCTTCAGAGCTGAAGGGCATGGGCAGGGAGTTCAGGGAGAAGCAGGAAATCCCTGGATCTCTTTGAATGCCTTATGGGTTGGATCAGAACTGTTTTCTGGGAGCCTTGGAAATGTTTTGTCTGAGTCATATCAGGTGTTTTGCCCAGAAGAAGAAACCGTTTTAACCTCTACAAGAAAGGTTCATTACTAGTTTTTTTGTTGAAATATTCTAGTCTGAAATATTTTTTAGACACACATTTCCTACTTTTCTCTTCTCCTCAGTTCTACAGGTCCCTGAACATCCGAGTGGCCCTGGTGGGAGTGGAGGTGTGGAATGACATGGACAAGTGCTCCATCTCCCAGGACCCCTTCACCAGCCTGCACGAGTTCCTGGACTGGAGGAAGCTCAAGCTCCTACCTCGGAAAGCCCACGACAATGCCCAGCTCATCAGGTAGGCTCGGCTCTGCGTTTGGTACCCACCAGGATTTGGGGGATTTTGGGGATTTCAGGATAGCTGTGCTGAGTCCTGCCCCAGCTGCTGAGCTCTTGGAAGGAGCATCTGTGCTCCTGAGGGTTTGCCTTTCCTCTCTGCAAGCATCAAACCCAAAATCACTCTGCAGGTGCTCCAGGTGAGTTTCCTTCCCAGCCCTGGTGCTCAGAGCCTGTCCTGAGCCTGTCTGTAACTCCTGTAGAGCAGGAGGTTGTAATCAGCTGCTGCATGCTCAGGGTGGGAATTTACAACCAATTCAAACTGCCCTCAGTCTAAATTGTCACTGGGAAAGGCAGTCCTGCTCTGACCCTAAGTGAAGCCTATTTCTTAATGGAAAGACCTCAGTATGCGTGAAAATGCTGTCTAATTTAGACAGTTCATTTGCATTCATGATTTAAAAATTAAACCATAAACATATTTTACACTGCTGCTTTTTCTGGGAATAAAGGAATTGAGTAAAGGCCCCTGTCAACCCAAACCAGTCTATGGTTCTGTAAAAATAAAAGCACTCTCAAAAAAAAGGAAAGAGGAACACATCTTTGTTGAATATTGTTTTGATCAATTGACTATTCTTTATACTGAGCAGATAAACACAACTGATGTCTCAGTAATTAAGAGGAGTTATTTACTTCTTACATTACCTGAATGAGAATAAATTGAGCCTTTCCAAACTGTCCCCCCTGAGATATTTGATTGCTCTATATGTATAATAACACTTTGTTTGAAATTATTACACTCGAGGCTGTGCATCACCACAAGCAGCACATAAACTTCCCCCTGCATCACAATAACCCTGCTTTGAGTTAGAGACTCCATCTCTGTGCTTGTGCTCCTGTTCCCAACCTCAAAAACAGAGGAGGGGAACAAGGGTCCTGTTGCAGCAGGGAAAACTGAGCGGGGTGATCCAAGGGGATGATCCATTTGGGGTGATCCAATGAGGGTTATCCATTGGGAGTGATCCACTGGGGGTGATCCAAGGGGATGATCCAAGGGGATGATCCATTTGGGGTGATCCCATGAGGGTTATCCATTGGGAGTGATCCACTGGGGGCGATCCAAGGGGATGATCAGTGGGGATGATCCAGTGTGGGTGATCCATCAGGGATGATCCATTTGGGGTGATCCATTGGGGGTGATCTATTGGGGGTGATCCACTGGGGATGATCCAATGGGGGTGATCCATTTGGGATGAACCATTGGGGGTGGTCCATTGGGAGTGATCTATTGTGGGTGATCTCTTGAGGGTGATCCAGTGGGGTGACCCAATGAGGGTGATCCAGTGAGGGTGATCTATTGGGGATGATCCAGTGGGGGTGAATCAATGGGGGTGATCAGTGGGGGTGATCCATTGGAAGTAATCCATTGGGGGTGACCAGTGGGGGTGATCGAGTGGTGATGATCTATTGAGGATGATCAAGTGAGGACGATCCAATGGGGATGATCCATTGGGGATGACCCAATGGGGGTGATCCATTGGGGATGATCCATTTGGGAGTGATCCATTTGGGGTGATCCATTGAGGATGACTCAATGGGGGTGACCCAATGGGGGTGATCCATTGGGGATGACCCAGTGGGGGTGATCTATTGGGGCTGATCCAGTGAGGGTGATGCATTGAGGATGATCCATTGGGGATGACTCAATGGGGGTGACCCAATGGGGGTGATGCAATGGATGTTCCCAGAGCTGGGACACCGTGGTTCAGTTCAGCTGAGGCAGCACCGCCCATCTGGGCTTTCCATTGCTTTGACCTGCCAATGTGAGGGGCAGAAACGGGGCCTGTGTTTGAGACTGGCAGAAGCCCAGAGCTGGAGGGGACAGGGAGCTATCGTGGCACTGACTGGCGGCTCTGTCTCCTCTCCCCTCTGCAGCGGCGTGTACTTCCAGGGCACTACCATTGGCATGGCTCCCATCATGAGCATGTGCACAGCAGAGCAGTCTGGAGGGGTCGTCATGGTAAGTGGGACAAGCACTCGGCCGCTCTCTCTCAGGTGACACCACACCAGCCCTGCACTCCTGCCTCCTGAACCTGCCCCATCTGTCCCATTTTCCATCCCTCTGTTGTTCAGATTGCTTGTAAATGATAGTTTCCATAGTGGAAACAACCAAAATATTGCATTAAAATATAGCAGGGTCTCTTTGCAAGGAGTTTATTCCTCTAATTGTTATTGAACCAGGTGCTGAGGTGCTGTGAAGAAGAGAACCAGAAGATGTATTTGTTATACACTTGGGTATACTTGTGTTACAGGCAGCAGCAGTCTATCCTGAATCTTTTATTATATTGATTTTATTCTGTATTTATAGAGTTTCCTGTGTTAGGCCTTATTTTCCATCTTTGCAGCAGTGGTTTTATTGCATTGCCAGACAGAGAGAACAAACAATGGCAGCATTTATTCCAGCTGAGTCTCTCCCAGGGCATTATTGTTGTTGTTAGATGCAAGACATGGTGAACACACAAGCAAACATCTTGTCCAATCTCTGCAAGGAGTTCTGATGTACTTTCTTTCTGATTTTTTCTTTTTAAATTTCAATTTTGCAGTGCTTTGTGCTAAGACAGTGGGAAGAAGCTTTAAACTAGAAGGATCAAATCAGATAATTTGGGAAAAGTTGTGTCAAAGTTGTAGAAAAGACAAAGGTTTCAGGCTCTTGGTAGTTTGAGCAGCTGAATCTGTAATTGCTGACTGTAACAATTATTCACTGGAGGAAAGGTACAAAAGGAAAAGGAAGGAAAAAAGGAAGAAAGAGCTGTAGGAGTGTCCCCAAGTCTGGGTAAAGGCACAGATGAGGCAGACAGCCCCATTTTACCCATTTGACTCAGCCCTGCTGTCACTGCTTGGCTTTATCTGCAGTCAGAGATGCCCTTAACGATGACTTTTTGTCCTTTTAATTTTTAGCATAAGATTTAAAACACTCCACAGTGTAATTTACAGCCAAATCAGTTCTCTTTGCTCTGGAAGCTGTCATTTTAAAGAGAAATAATTACTAATAGTTCATTCCAGTAACAAGAAAACAAGAATCAGCATTTCTTTAGAGCATTCTCATAGAGAGGGGACTGATTTATCTGTCCAGGAGAAACCCAGGCTCTGTGGATGAGTCCTGGGCCAGGCTGAAGCTTCTGTCATGAAGGGGAGCAGAAATTCAGTGAATTTAAGCTTTTGAGGTGCAAATTAACTTGAAACTTTTACAGAATAACCAGAAACCTTCTCTAGCTCTTTAAGCAAATCCTCAAAAAGGAGCCAAATCCAAATGAAGCAAACACTCACCCCAAAGCCCAAAAGTGCAGCTGCCCAACCATCCCCTGAGTTAGAAAAAGCAGATTCAGGCACAGATACATATATTTATATATTGGTACCTGTATTTATGTATATATATATTTATATTTTTATTTTTATGTTTATGTTTAATATGTTTAATATATTTTATATATTTTATATATTTTATATATTTATATATATTGGCACAGCTGCCCAGGGAAGGAGTGGAGTCCCCATCCCTGGAAGGATTTAAAAGCCCTGTGGAGGTGGCACTTGGGGACATGGGGCAGTGGTGGCCTTGGCAGTGCTGGGGCATGGTTGGACTCCATGGTCTTAACGGTCTTTTCCACCCTAAAAGATTCTGTGATTTTGTAAATAATGAATCACCCTCAGCCTGGGAAGGTCAGGGCTCAGGTGTCTCGACACTGCACAAATGAACATTTGCCCAACCTCATAATTCAGCCAATTTCTCACCCATCCCACCCCCAGCCCTCAACACCAAAAGCTCCCACACTCTAAAACCTGTTCTGGAAGAAAAGACAATGAGAGACTGCGTCAGAAATGACATTTGAATACAAAATCTGGAGTGACTCTTGTCTGATGTGATTTTCCTGCTTCTTTCTGCAGTTAGTCAGCTCTGCTTTATGATCTAAATTCCTCTGTCATGCCTCCCTGGGAGCCTGCCTGTCTCTTTTCTATAGGGCTGAGCTCTCTCAGTGGGTGACACCCTGTCTGCCATTAATTTTCAGAGGAACTCAAAGCAGGGAGAGCAGCCATGTGAGTGTGAGGAGCTTTAACAAGACCTTTATCATTTCATTTCCCTGTGAAGTTTCTGTAGTGTCACAGAAAAACCAAAGAGAAGTTGACATTAAAGCAAGTCTTTGACGTGATTCAGTCTTCATTCTTCTGTTTCCAAAGGTTGCCCACTGAATTCATGGATTTAAAAGTAAAATATTTCTGAGAGAAGAGGAAAGTGACTTTTTGTCTGGGCAGACAATGATGAGGTGAGGGAGAAGGGTTTTAAACTTACAGAGGAGAGATTTAAATGGGATATTAGGAGGAAATTGTCCTCTGTGAGGGTGCCCAGAGCAGCTGTGGCTGCCCTGGATCCCTGGCAGTGCCCAAGGCCAGGCTGGACAGGGCTTGGAGCACCTGGGACAGTGGAAATTGAGCTGGGACTGGATAATTTTTAAGGTCCCTTCCAATTCAAACCATTCTGTGACTCCATGAACAGAGTGAACACGCTGAAAATACCAGGAGCAAGCAGGGCATTTGCCTGGTGGAGCTGTAGGTGACAGCATTTAATGATTAGGGTTTGATTGAAATCCCAGTGGAATGAAGCTGAATTCAGCTGAAAGCAGCTGCATGTTTTGTGCAACAGCTTATAATGCCTTAACAGTAGATGGTTGCTTATTCAGTGGTTGTGAAATGTGTTTTTTAATGACTTTTACTGCTCAAGTTCACTTTGAAGGACCCTGGTGGAATAAATCAAAGTCACATTGCTATTCATTTCTTTAGTCCTTGTGATTCTTAAGCGGCCTCAGTATCAAATGGAACATGTCACTGTTTGTTTTGATAATCTTCATTTATGCTGTCTTCAAATAACCTCTTTTGCTGAGGCATCACATTCCTCCTTCTGCAAACCCTCTCCAGAAGCTGATAAAATTGCATTCCAAGTGGATCTGAGCAAGTAATGAGAACCGCATGGGCTGCAATAATTGTTTGCCTTTTCAAGTCCCAAATTGCATTTCACATCATTTATTGCTCCACTTCTGGAGTGGACTGTGTGAATCCTTGGTTTTAGTTTTAGTTGACAGCTTCAGAGTATTCAGAGAAATATAATCACTGCTCAGTCAGTGGAGGAGATACTGGAAATATAAAGAAAGTCTGAGCTCAATTTGCTGGGTGTCTGTAGCTCAGTGAGGAGTTTCTGCCTTCACCAGATAGCCTGAATTTCAGAGCATCATCCAGAGAGTCAGTGGTAAATTATATGGAATTATTTTGCTGTTTTCCTAATCTTCAGCCCTGCATTATATTCCATTTGAGTGAGAGGTTGCGCTCTTTTTGTGACATCAGGTTCAATTACACTGAATTCTCTAAGTATTCCATCAATTACTGTGTGCACAAAGATAAACCCATCTGTATCAGACCAGTATCTAGATAAGGTATCTCATTATGTGGGTGTTGAGCAGGACAAACTGCACACAAACTGCCTGTCACAAGATTTCTATATCAAGATTTTAAAATTCAGGATTTTTTTTAAAAAAAGAGATTTTATGAACAGATAAAATTCTTTTGAGTTGATTCCAATTACAGAAGGAACATTTTGACTTTTTTAGAATTACTATATTCTCTTCTTGATTTTGTTTGCTGCTTGAGAAATGATTTACTAAAAATATTAGCCCAGACAGGTGAAAGAAGAAACTTAAAACTACCCCAAGTCGTGTATTAAGGTCTCCATTAGTACACAGATAATGTTTTAGACAGTTCTACCTTTCACTTTTTAGTCTGGAGTTTGGCTTAGATGATGCTGAAGGAGTTATTTAAAGTGAATGTATTCATGCAAGCTTCTCGAGCAGGCAGCTGCACACAGTAATTCCATTTACTGACTGATAAATAGTGGATCATGCATTTATATTACATGTTTATGCCTTCAGGGAAAGCTTTCTTACAAGTGTAGTGGATTTTTTTCCCTCAAGGAAAATGATCACTGAGGAAAGGTCTCTTGCTTGTGGTTAAGCCAAAGCATCATTCTGATCAGCAGCCTGTAATCAAATCATGCAGTGAATTTCTCAGAAATGATTGTCCCAACAATCAGCATTTAAACGCGGATTGGTGTTAAAATTTCAAACTGACACTTTCAACATTTAGAGTATTTATAGGTTAATAAGAGGCCATGGAAGATTTTGGCTTGCTCTGGCCTTTCATTTAAAAAAGGAGATTTTTAAAGGTTCTTGGTTTTTCTATAAAGGTTTGTGAAATCTTGAACATTCTGATATTATCAAAACGGTCTGAAGCAGATTAAATATACTGAGTGAAATCTCTTGCTGCAGTTTTAATTTGCCTCCTGACATGAAGGATTTCTCACTTGTCCCTTACCACACTCATCCTCACCCATAAATTATTGCCCTTTCCAACACTCCATGTCTGTCACCTCTCTCTGCCATTGCTGGCACTTGGGGCTTTGGGGGAATGTTAAGCCCCAATAAAGAGATGTTCACAGCTGCTCAATGGTTTCCAATGTCTGATGGGAAAACTGGGTGGCCAGAAAGGCTGTCCTGAAATCCCCACAAGGATGAATTTAAAACTGAGTTTATTTAACAGCAGAGTAAAACTTATAAACCATTTGAAAGGACAGGCAGTGGGACCTTGGAGGGGGAATGTGTGCCTTGAGCTGGGTTTGTGTGCTGAGCTGACTGGTTCTCCTGTGGGTTTTGTTTTGCAGGATCACTCAGAAAACCCTCTGGGTGCAGCAGTGACGCTGGCTCACGAGCTGGGGCACAACTTTGGGATGAATCACGACACCCTGGAGAGGGGCTGCAGCTGCAGAGCTTCCACTGACAAAGGGGGCTGCATCATGAACCCCTCCACTGGGTAAGTGCCAGCCTACAGCTACACTGGGACAGCTGTGCCTTCGTTTTGTGCCTCAGGAACATTGGAAGGCACAAAAAAAGACACAAAAACTTTTCAACACCTGTTAAATCTTGTTGCGGTTATCCTCCTCAAGCTGAAAAAATTAAATGTTATCGCAGCACATGTACTATTGCACATTTCTATTTCCAGGTTAACAGTGTGAGAGACAAAAGTGCTGTAAGAAACTGGGTAATTGAAAAAAACCAGAAAAACAATCCAGAGCCAAACAAACTGTGTTGCAAGTGTTAAATCAGAATTTCACCTCCTCTCATCATGCCAGCTGAGCATCAGTCACAGTAGGAAATGAGCCAAGGCTGAGATGAGTGGGTAGGAAATTCAGTAATGCAGGAAATGCACTCTCAGGCTCTCTGCAAACTCTTTGTCTCGTGCAGAGCAGGTTTTAGTTCTGCACAAAGTTTTGTTGCAAGTTGGGAGCACTTTTAGCTTGTGAGAAAATGAAACCTGCCAGGTCAGTGGGATTAAGGCTGTTCTGTGTCCAGAGGGAGATCTTCCAAGAAGAGAGATTAGAAATGTGGGAAATGAAAACCAGTGAGCCTGTGGTCACTCCTGTGGGTGCAGGGCCAGCAGCTGCACTCAGTGATCCTGTGGGTCCCTTCCAGCTCAGGAAATTCCCTGGTTCCCTGTCAGAACTGAGGGGGGCTCTGCTGCTGGCAAGGGCACTGTGCCAAGCACAAGAGTGTTCTACAGACACTGGAATGTCAGGCACCCTGGGCAGAGTGAGCTGTCACTGCTTGCAGGGATGTATTTTAAGTTCCTGTTGAAACTGAAGGATATGAGGAATGAGTTCTCCATGTTCAGACTAGGACTGAAAAGATGAAATTGAAGTAAGATTTGCCAATTAAACTGCCTGTGACTGGAATCCAGCAAGAACCAGTGAGGCAAATATCTGCCAGCAGTGCAGGTGCAGCTGGATGTGCCTTAGGACAAGAGGATGCTCTGGATGTTCTCTGATGTCCCTTCCAGCTCCTGTGTTCTCTCTGTGTGCCTAAAGTTCATCTGTTGCTTAAAAACCTCTTCTGGGAACTGTGATCAGCCCTCCCTGTGCCCTTTCCAGGGCTGCAGGTTTCTGGGAAGGAAGGGGAGCAATGTGGGAGAGGCCGGGGAGGGTTGGGCAGGGCTGTTCCCTGCTGCTCAGCCCAACAGCAGCCTTGGAACTCCTTCAAAGGCAAAGCTGTCACCCTCCATCCACCAGGGCAGGAATCAGGGCTGTGGCCAGGGGCCAAGCACAGCAAGATGAGACACAAACAAAAGAGCTGTGAGAGTGGGGGAGAACGAGAGGGATTTCTGCAGTCTGGGAAAGAAAAATAACTGAGCTCTTGTGAGACAATGGGTGGTAATCATCCCCCTGGAATGCATCCTACACTGGTCCGGGCTCTGTCACACACAGAATGACATGGGACAGGGCTCTGGGCTGAGCTGGGCTGTGATCTCGCCAAGGAAACATTCCATTTTCTGCCAGCTCACCTGAGTTACTGGTTCTGCACCCAGCTGCTCCACTTTGCAATAAACACAGGGATGCTCTCAGGACAGAGATTTCTGGGCACTTTCTGAACTCATCTGGTTAGAGGAACATTAAATAACTCCTTGTTCATTCTTCCTTCACCCTGGAGTCCTTGGGGGTGTCTGAGCCTGTCCTGGGTGCTGCATGTGCCAGTCCAGGCTCTGCACTCGGCTGGCTCAGGGCAGGGCTGTGCCCACACAGGCTTCCTCAGGACAGGAGGAGTTGGGGATCCCATTCCCCGTCCCAAGCAGCTCAGCTCCCCCACTGGGGTTCCTGCAGAACCTTCCAGGTTGAAGGTTTGGGCGATTTTCACATTCCCCTCTTTGGGTTTTCACCAAACTCTGCATTCAGCTGGTGCCTAAGGAGGAGCTGTGGTGATTGTTTGCACTGATTATTGATTCAGAAATGGAAACTTCAGCTTTGGGTTTACAGCCTCAGGGTTTATCTCCACACCAGGTGTTGGAGATTTTTTCAGGGATGGCCTAGAAAGCAGCTGTGAGGAGCAGATTCTCACAGCCTGTTTCTGTGAACAGCAGAGGTTCTCAGGTTATTTTTAACTACAGGTAAAAGTGACAAACATGAAGATCTTGAGAGCCTTGCACATCAGAGTTCTCAGGCAGCTTTCTCATAACAAGTGGATGTTCTATCTTTGGCTGTTTTGGGAAAGCAAGAATAATTTTGAGAACCCAAATCTTGGTATTGGAAACATAAGGTGGAGTTGGTGTGTTATCTCTGGCCTATTGTGAGCTCAGATTTTGCAATATGCATGAAGTGAATTAACACTGTTATAAAAGGTGATTGATTGATTAATAAATCGGAGTCGATGCTGACCAATGCAAGGTGGGTCGTCTCCCCTCCAACTTCAATAACCAGGCTGTCAATCTGTGACAAATATTCCTGGAGATCACTCCATGCCTTGAGCCAAGCTGCCTCTCACCCATTTCAAATTAACACTTTGAATAGTTAATTACCCAACGTGTCTCACCAATAGCAATATTCCCCTGAGCACCATTATTGAAGGAGCACTGAAAACTTTTCCTCTCTGGAAGTGTTTTTCTGTTAAGGAAAGGCCAAATAAATGTTCCTTATCTCAAATGCACTCTGGAAATAGCTAAAAAATCAAAACTAAGAGAATCCCATGTCCATTTAGAGAGACAGCCTGCTCTCAGTGTACTCACTGCACTGCCTCTGTGCTTTGCTAATTGATTTAAGGTAGATTTAATGAGTGGAATAAAGAAAAATCCAGCTGAAGTTAGTGCAAAAAGCACTGAGATGTCCTTATCTGGTGTCTATAAAAATAGGAAATACAAAGTTATGCCCGAAAGGGCTCTGAATTTCACTTTGGAGTCATTGGTGTGGTCGTGCACAAAAGGAAATGTTTTAAGGCTGTTGACTTAAAAGGGATTTCATCAATTATTGTAATTTCATTCAGTTCCTCTGTTTCAGTCTTTGAAGAGGTCTTGGAAATTTTGTCTTGGTGGGAAAAAACCTCCAGGGATCAGGGTGGAATTTAAACTCTGTTGGATCCATGCTTTAATCAGCTTCCTATAGTTTTTATTCTTAAAAGATACCAGCAAGATGAGCACCAGTTGTGTGTGAGCTACAAATGTCTAAAGACCTACTACTTTAGCAAAAAGTATTTTTTCTAACATGGAATCATGCACAAAATTCCACAAATTTGTGTCAATGCAGGACTTGAGAGATTCAAATATCTGCTGTGAAAATCACATAAATCCTTCTGTAGAAACAGGGGTGGTTCCTATAAGAATACTATCAATAAGGAATATTTAGTACTAAAATTAGTGTTTAGTAATACAGATTGTTAATATTTAAATATATATAATATTGATATTAATTACATCAGTAAGGGATTTTTAATACACTTTGTGTTTTCTTTTTATGCATCTGTTGTAATAATATTCTCCAATTTTTTTCAATTGTCTTGCACATGGACAGTTGCAAGTGCCAAAAAAGGAAAATTAGAGAGATTTGTGAATCTTTTTACTGAGATCTTATTATCTGGAAACTAAGGGACTGGGCTGAGCCAGTGAGGCCACTTCAGTATTCCACTGTTTTTCCAAATATCTCCCTAAAGTGTCGCCTCGTAGGAGTGAAAATATTCCTCCTGCCAGGCAGATAAATACCCAGGAGTTGTTCTGGTGCAGCCCAAGGCATTGGGCTGGATTTATACCCCTGTAAATGTGAGCAGAATTTACTGCAGAGCAGAATGCTGCCAATTAGCAGCGCTTGTTTATTAAATAATTCTGGAAATGCAGTTTTTACACAAATTTCTACTTCATCAAAATTGAGCACGGGGCTTTTCATGGGGTTTGAAGCTGGGTGAGCTCCCACTAAGAAGTTGAAATATTGACTTCAGATATGTCTGAGATTTTTTTGCAGCCTTAAGAGAAGCAAAGTTTTGAGAGTTGGTGTTCTCCCTTCCTGAAAACTCAAGGGTTGAACTTCCCCTGTCCCACTTTCCTGTGTCCTTGAGCTCTGAGCTCTTTGAGCCCCACACAGGGAAATTTGGCTGCAGGGAAATTTGGCTGCAGGGAAATTTGCTCCTCCCTCCCTCCCACAGGGAGTGCTCCCTGATGCCTTTCCATTTCCTCTTCCTGTGAGGTTAATGAGAGCAGGAATCCTCCCAGGATGGGCAATTTCACCCATTCA